AAGCCAGATTCACTTAACAACCATGTTACTAACTTTCTGACTTTCAGATGCTGTCAAAAAGACATTTGTATGGGTGCCTGTCAGTTTTCAAACTTGTCATGGCTATTAGAAATTCAACGCCACATTCAAGAATTAGGTGATGGTAGAATCTTCACAGGCTCAGCACGACGAGATGAATTGCAAGAAGAAAACCATACATACACAGAATATCTGACCACTGCAGAAAATAGAATTTGTATTTGCCGGCCCCAGCCTTTAAATCTTAGGCCTTTTTCAAGTTAATGGTGATTTGTTTCCTAGCCTTGAAATTGAGGAGCAACTTTTCAGTGTCTGTAACAATGGTTCTGTCTGGTCTGAAATGTGCTGGTTCCTGCTTCACTGGCTTTAGCTCATAGAGCATTAGTCTTTGAAGGGATCCCTTTCATAAAATAATAAAAGATACTTCAATATTGAAATAAAAGATACTTCAATATTACATAGCATAGTTAGCCTACTACGACCAGACAGTATTGTTCAGCAGTTGATCCAAAATATTTACAAAGTCAAGTAGTATGTTTGCAGACTTCATGACACATCACCATCTATGCCCATGATGGCGAACCGATGGCATGCGTGCCAGAAGCCGTCACCCCAGTTCACCTCTGCTGCGCATGAGCGTGCGCCTCCGGCCGACCAGCTAGTCTTTGGGTCTCTGCCACGCATGCGGCGTGGGGCGTGGTGTGGCACACGTGCATGCGGGGATACTCGAACACATGCATGGGGGGTGGGTGCATGCGCAGGGGCTGCACACGCATTGCATTTTGGGGGTCCGGGTGTGCTTTGGGCACTCAGTCCGGAAAAGGTTAGCCATCACTGATTTATGCCTTCCAGGCTATTACCTCATGATCTACGGTGCCTAATTTATGTTGCATTGTATATACTTTGCATATTAGACCATCTTTCTTTTCAGAGGTGGTAGGGCTAGAGGTACTTTGCAACCAAAAAAACCTTTTTCCGAGTAAAATCATGTTTTATTTTCCTGTGTTAAGAGTTTGGAACATATATGACAATATCCATTCTTTGCAAGTCTGGTCTAGAAAAACCAGACATGCAAATTATATTTAGCATTTTTAGCATTTTTCTAAAAAAAAGATCATACCACTTGAACTGAAGAGTAAAATGTTTCATGGCATTTACTAGAAAATTGGTGGCCTATTTGTATTTCAATTACGAATTTCACTATCCGATGAAGAGTATCTTCTACCTCACCTAAGCACTTGTTATGAGCTATGCACTACATCAGCAGATGATAGAACTGAATTCTAACACCCAATGTGATTGCCCAGAATACATTAATTTGAAGGCAGACTTCTGTCCAAAGCATTTTGATTTATCGCTGTATTTTATAAGCTAGCCAAAGGTTAAGAGTATTAATATTTCATTAGTTGTGGTCCGGCAGGCATGAGTGATTGTTCAAGTGAACGTTGGAAAGAATATGAAACAAGGTGAGATTCCTCATGGTTCAAAAATGAAAAACCTACATTGATATTTCTTCACAAGGGGAGCACACCATAATGGGAAATGCCAATAATCCAAATATCTGACATACGGAAATGTAAATCCATTTATGTCTAGATGAGTTAAGGAGATGCATTTCATAACAAAAGCAGTTAACCAACAAGGCGTGCTAAGAACGTATGTCTCCTTTTTTATTAACTATGCAACTGTGAAGAGAAGCTTGAACTTGTTCTGTGCCAGCCAGATCTTGACATCCTCTAAGAACCAAGAAAGACCATCAACAACATATCTCTTACAGCCAAGGTCAACGTGGCTCATTAACTCATCCTAGGATACTAGGATACCATTGTAGATAGTACAGTAGATTTTGATCACGCTTACAGAGATGCTACGATGATTGTGAGAAAAACGGTTGTAAGTTATTTTTTAAAGTGCCGTTGTAACAGTCACCAAACAAATGGTTGTAAGTCAAGGACTACCTGTATCTCTATATCATTGTCCCATATTGTGCCATATACCAGAAGAGGCTTTACTCTTGCTCACTGCAATGTTCTACCCTCTCAGGTGAATGGGAAATTGATCACGTGCTGCTGCATTGCCTTTTTTAGAAATAGAAATCTGAGATACATACATTACCTCGTGTATATAACCCAATACCTGGGCAGTCTGGAGGCTGGTTACCCTAATCAGCCCTAAATAAACCCTAAACGGGATGCAGGTATTTTTCAGACAACATAGACCAATTCTATGTCAAAGCTATGATTTAAACTATGATTTAAAATGAGCTGTGGTGGCGCAGTGGTTAGAGTGCAGTACTGCAGGCTACTTCTGCTGACTGCCGGCTGCCTGCAATTTGGCAGTTCAAATCTCACCAGGCTCAAGATTGACTCAGCCTTCCATCCTTCCAAAGTGGGTAAAATGAGGACCCAAATTGTTGGGGGCAATATGCTGACTCTGTAAACCGCTCAGAGAGGGCTGTAAAGTACTGTAAAGCGGTATATGTTTAATTGCTACTGCTAAACGTGAACAATTCATCCAAGTGAGGTGATGCTGAGCCTTAACTAGATTTCTATAATTCAGTAATTTTCTTTTTTTCACTCCCTTTCTTTCCTCCTCCATTCCCCCCCCCTTTTTTTTCTTTTATACGTACACATATTATTCTCTTTTATTTTGTTAGTTCTTTGTTAAAACTGGCTGGACCACAATTATTTTAATCCCAACAAACCTTAACAGAGCTTCAGGAAGCATTAGACTTCATATAACTTGGCATAATTTGACATTCTCATAGTGTTTTAGAAATTCTAGTACCACTTATGTCCTTTTATATAGTTATTTTATTAAAAGCTATCTATTTATAGCATTTAAATTATTAATGTAAAGCTACTTGTAATTCTATAGGATTCTCTCATGTTTTAATTCCTGTACTCTCTAATTTTACGTTAATAATTTTATCTTTAACTTATTCTATTGATATTTTTTAAAAAAATCTCTATTTTAACGTAATTATTAGTTCTGCTCTGTTCTATGATGAAAATAAAATAGATCGATTGACAAATTATTCCATAATTTTCTCTTCTCTTATTAAGAAACTGCAATTCCACCCCTTACTGAGAGTATCATAAAGCACAGTATCACTTCATCTTAGTAAACAATGCATAGAATCGTATTATCCGATTCCTCCAATTCTGTTATTTTTCCATTTTAATATGTCTTAAGATACCAGTATTAGGGTGAAAAAGATGCCTTTTAAGGGAAAGGTCCTTTGCTTTGATAAACTCATAGCTGTGTAAACTATGCTCAAAGACCAGTTAGGTTTAGTGGTTAAGGCACCAGCCTAGAATCCAGGAGGCAGTGAGTTCTAGTCCCAGTTGTGCAAACTCAAGATGATATTCAAAAGCAGGAAACAACAGTTGGATTTGATTTGCAACTTTGATGAATTGAAACTTGATCTGTTGCTGTCTGATGCAAAGAAAAAAGTGTTTGGTTTGAAAACTAAAGATCTGCCCGAAAAGATGGAAAAAGAATACAAATATATGAAATTGTGAGATAATGGAATTGATGAATTATGGACTGGACTTTCTTAGCAAGAGGAATAGCATGCCATCAAGAATTATTCAATAATGGATGTTGCAGAGGTATTTACAACAAAGACTTACGAACTTTGGAAATAAGATGCAATTGTTGAGGAAGTTTCCTATTAAGAACCTAAGGAAAAGTTTAATTATTAAGAATCAAATGAGGGTGTTTGATCCTGGACTGATCAGAGCTTATTGGGGGTGGTTTGTGGTAAATAAAAAAGAGTGTAGACTTCCAAAGGGTAAATTACAACAAATTATTAACAGATGTCTATGGAGATTCTCAGTCATCCAGGTCATAGTTGTCCCAAAGGTGCTTTTTCAAGAGGCAACTGGACTTTCTTGTTCTTTGAAGCTGAAGCAGCTTCTTGGAGAAGCGAAACGTCTTCAAAGAAAAACAAAAAAAGTCCAGTGGCCTCTTGAAAAAGCACCTTTGGGACTGTTAACAGAGCCTTTTGAATTTTAACTTCGCTGTTGTTTAACCTGTTAACTATTTTTTCTTTCATTTATGTAATGTCATAAAAGTCAATTGGGTTGCAAATAGATGTAGCAGCTTATAAATTTTGGACCTGCTTTGCAAGTTGGGAAGCTATCACTGTTGCAATAGTGTTCAATTGGGGGGGCGGGGGGCGGGGGGGTGTAATATGTTTTTGACTTTTGTGTTTTTATTCAGTTTTTTAAAAAAAGTTTTTGTCCAGTTTTGTCTTCTCTCTGCTTACTTTTCTTCTCTTGGCTTTTGTATTTCAATCTTTTGAATAAAACAAAATAATTTTTAAAAAAGCAGTTCACTATAGGTATTATATACGAAGTATTTAGAACTACAGGTAATCCTAGATTGAGTCCAACATTTCTGTTACTAAGTGAAACATTTGTTAAGTGAGTTTGCTCCATTTTATGACCTTTCTTGCCACAACTGTTAAGTGCATCATGACAGTTGTTAAATTAGACACACTGTTGTTAAGTGAATCTCGCTTTCCCATTGACTTTGCTTGTCAGAAAGTCACGAAAGGAATCACATGACCCCGGGACACTGCAACAGTCATGTGACAGTTGTCAAGCTTCCAAATATAAATCACGTGACCATGGGGATGCTTATAACCAGTGAAAACTGGTTATAAGTCACTTTTTTCAGTGCCACTGTACTTTTGAACTGTCACTAAATGAACTGTTGTAAACCGAGGATACAACACACTTTCATTCGATCATTCATAGAACAGCCCCTCTACTTTGATTAAAAAGATAAGACGATACTTAAAACAGTTTTAGTGATCCATTATTACAGGAAGAATTGCTGTTTTTGAAAAATAGAGCCACAATTAATTTATACTTTAGTCACTCCTTTTTCCTATAATATCACAATCATACTGGCAGCATTAAAAATTAACTGTTAACACGAGAGTTTAAAATCACAACATTATGCCCACAATATTGAATTCCCAGTTTATTTCTTAAATTAGTTCCAATATACAACTTAGAAATTATATCAGGACTAATGAATATTTACATGTGTTTTTTGTTCCAGCATTTATTCAGTATAAAAATAGGTGTACATATAGATTTCCAATTATACCTAAATTTACAGTTCATGAAGCTGTTTCAATAGCAGCCTGCCAATAGTTGTCAAATAAAATAAAAATAAATAAAAGTTTATCTCAAGAAATGGATAGCTTTAAAAATTAATTTGGCAAAGATCTGCCTTTTCCTGATCATCTTCCAGCAACTGATCTGATCTGTGATATCCCTTTCTTATCTATCTTATCCACATAAATACGAAAGAAAAATAAGAAAAAACCCAGATCTTTCCTTCCTGCAGAGCCTTCCCCCCTTAAAGGCAAATGAGCAGAATTGCACAACACCACTGCTCCCAAGGTCAGCTTCCCATGATGCTACAATCAGTAACAATACACATCTGCCCTAGAATGTGGTTTAAAAGATGCCAAACTAATTCAAACTATTCGTAATGCAACTTCTGGAACAACTTTACTACAACTGCTTGCTAAGAAATTGAAGGCAGGTTGAGGCACTCAGCAAAATGAAGTGATCAAAGACGCTGCCAGTTGAGTGGTCTGACAGAAAATTAAAATCTTCCCATGTAAGAATTTCATGGAAACAAATGCTATTTTCCGATTTGTTTTTTCTCCTTAACCAAGAGGGCACAAGAAAGAATTCTTTACCCTACTATTGGAATGGCCTCCGACAGTGAACAAACTACCTCAACCTAGCTTCACTCTTCAAAGGTGTGAAGGAAGTCAGGCAGGAAAGATCTGCTGCATAAGCGGATGCTGCCTGCTGTTCCATACAGTTTTTAGATGCATTTAAAACATTTTAATCCTCATTTTCAATATAAAATGTCTACCCCAATCAGATCATTTACCATTTCCTTACTTTTACAGCATCCATAAACCAAGCTTTAGCCTATAGAAGTGTTTGTTCGTATGTAGCATCTTCAACTATTGTAAACAAAATCACAGAGAAAAAAAATTCAAATGATACATTTACACATATACAAACATCGATATTATACATCACTCTCCAGCCAGGTTGCACACTGACCTGAATCTCAAATCATCAATTGAACCATGAATTATTATAGCTCACTGACAGCTGTTGCAGTCAACTGATACAACAACCCAAATCCAGCTAAGGAATGTTAACCTGAGACACCCTACTACTAAAGATATTCAATGTAAACTGATGCATCAGGCAATGTCAATGTACCATGTCGTTAGAGAAACAAAACAGCTATCTGTGACTTCCTGTAATGCCTCAAGAGATGATAATTATTTGCTAAAAGAATTCAAGGTATACTTGTATTTCAAGGAGTGAGCCACAACGTGGCAAGCTAGATTCAAGAGGATGAACTACACCTCAAACTCTGCATCCTAACACACAGTAGTGTTGTGTTGCTTTATGTTTTGTCATCAGTTGCAAGAGAATCCAAGTGGATCACAATTTTTCAATAATCCAGTTGAGCTGTTTTGGTAATATTCGAACAACATATAATACTGGTTCTGGTAAAAATGAAGATAGTTGAGTTAGTTATTTTCTTTTACTGTGCAACCGCATTTTCTTCTTCAACATTATAATTGAAGATGTGTAACCAAAGGTGAGAGTGTTGAGGATCTGTACTCTCAAAATAAAATTGCTGAGGGTGTTTCATTTCATTTCCATGAATGAGCTCAGGATTTCAGAGACATATGTATGTGTGTGTACACATGCACCCGCACTCATATGATCTCAAAAATAAAATGTTGCATTAGTATATAAATCATATACTACAAAACCTAGAATAAATAATAGAACTTTTCCTATCTATAAATCAGCATTACTTAATCTATCTACAGCTAACGATGTTTATTAACCAACTTCTAATGAAAAGGGGCTATTAATTCCCACGCAGTTTCTTCATGATAGGGCTGTCAGGGGTAGCATTGGTAAATATGCTTCCAACTAGAACGTGAGTTCCCCATAGATTATGCCGAATAACTTTACAGCAGCCTAGGTCTTCCACAAGAAATCCTAACTGGTGATAGCGTTCATCAGTTTCAAAGAGGGTGTTGTTCGTGTAAGGGCCAAAGAACTGAAAGGAGAGAAAAAGAATGAAACATTGCGTATTATAACAGTTGATTTGATTAAATTCCTGCTTAAGTAAATACATGTACTTTTTATTTCTATGAGGCATTATCTGAATGAGTTGATGTGCAATTATTATCGGCAATATTATGCTCTTACTTTCCACATTAACAAAACAGATCTAATGAATCAACAATATGTTGCAAAGACTGCCACAGCCCATTCTAGAAAAGGGATCTCTAAATACAGTCGACATCCACTAATAAAGGTTATAGGAGAAAAAGTTTTGTCATCTAGTAAAGCAGGGGTGTCAAACTCGGGGCCCACGGGCCAGATGCGTCATGTGCTGGCCATACCCACGTCGTTTAGTGAAGGGGGAAAAAAAAGTCACAATATGTCATGTGATGACGCTGCTGACGACACGAGTTTGACACCCCTGTAGTAAAGGAACACAAAATATTTTAGCCTTTTTTCCTTCTACGTGATTCAGTTTTACCCACGGAAAAGTCATCCTGCATAATGGCAATATATAAAGAAGAAGGATAGAAAAGTATCTCAATTGATTACAATCGCGTGACCATTGAGGCGTTGGGACAGCCAGAACTCTGAAGGTTGGTCATTAAGTTCCACTTATTCAGCACCACCAGAACTTTGAATGGTCATTAATGAGAACTGCCTGTACCTCAAAAGGCTCTTGTATCACTAAGTATGAAACAGAAAGAACTATGTGCAACACCTCGAGCTCCTATGATAGATAGGAAATACCATGCCAATACACTTATTAAACAAAAACAATTTAGTCCTTTAATGGCAACTAGCAAGAAAAAAGAACTGATGGAGGATTTATACTCTATTGATACTTTGCCTAAGTCTGAGAATGATACTCCTCTCCTCATTATATTTTAACATAAATACTTACTGCTAATCCTGATGTTGGATCAATGAAGTCTGCCCAGTAGCCTTCAGAAGACAAAGCGTAGCAAATTTCCTTAGCACCGCTGATAAACTAAGAAGAGAGAAAATAGAAAAATGCAAAATGGACTTTCTCCATCAAACACAAATTCACTTCAAAATCAAAGAGCAAATGCTCAGAACTTCAGCTGATCAATTTGAATAACTTTACTAGCAGGATTAACACTATTAAGCTATATCGGGATCATGTAAAGTCTATAAGGACGTGTTGATGCTAGTCAATAAAGAGTTAATACTTCACGGGGTCTGTGTAATATGATTGCTTTCATTGCTCACTTGAATTGTAATGTTAACTTTGTTCTCTTAATTTCACAGCATCTAAAATTAAAATGAAATAACCACACAGCATCTACTTTTCTCATGTTAATCTATTTTTTTTGCCTTGATAAGAAAATAAAAAAACTAGTGCAATTTTAAGTTTAAAAGCTAGTAAGGAAACTTTCCAAACCCTTGTCAAGTAAATTAAATTGAATGAATGAATGAATAAATAAATAAATAAATAAATTTCAGAGTACATGAAGAAGTAATATCTTACTCCAAAGTATATTGTATCAATTCAGAGAACCCAAAACCAAAGGGACCTATAACTATGTAGGAAAAAGGGATGTTTTTTCCAAGCCCCAAAGAATATCTAATGTAAAATATTATGATAAAATTTAGCAGTGGCTTGAGCCATTTGCAATGAACATGATTAAGGCTCATACATCTATGATTAAGTTTTGCACTATGGTGCATGATATATTGAAATTAAGCCTAATAAAAAGAACACTTAAGAACATATACTTCAGGAAAAGCTGACTATATCTAGAAAGGTTTCAAATACATGAATGGTTTATTAAACCAAATACATGTGCATTGCAAAAACTCAAAATCAAATCTCTACAGAAAATGTTCAGTTTTGTCTAACCCAGTAAAGTACAAGTTGTCAGTTTTAGAACAAGCTAGTATTTTAAGTTCAGAAATAAATCATTGTTTCCCAGTTGGAATGTATGGGAAATTATACTAATTAAGGCTTAACTTGTTTTCAATGCTTCTCTCTCTTTTTTTGCAACATCTTCAAAAAATCAATACCTTATTATCTCATATTAAGTTAAAATACATTTAAATCAGTGGTGGGTTGCTCCTGGTTCGGTCCGGTTCTTGTGAACCGGTAGTAATGATGGCGGAAGGCTCCGCCCACCCAGCCAGACATCATCACGGACGATCTGCGCATGCACAGAAGCTTCTGCACATGTGCAGAAGCGCGCGTGCGTTCCCATTACAAACCAGTAGCTGAGGTAAGTAGAACCCACCCGATTTAAATTGACACTCAAGTAAAGTGCAAGATAAAAAAAAACCTGAATAATCTTACTCTGAATCTTCTGCTACATGTTAAAGATGGAATATTCTTCCTGGCTTTATCAAACTACTTACAATCCATAAAATTATCAAGAATTCTAAATTGTTTCAAGCATGATGATAGCTAGAAATTTATCATAGAACAATAGAAGGAGCAATCTGTAGCTATTGTCCCCAACACACTGTGACTGTGTGTTACCTAGCCAATATACAAACTATGTATGTATATTGAAAGGAAGTTGAAGAAGAGTTTTAAGCAGTAATTAAGAATACAATTCCTTTTATTATTCCTATAATTACTATGAATATTAAATCTAAAGTTATATTATTCCACTATAAAAAAGACTTGTACTCAATACTTATACAAGTTGAAAAACAGTAGTTTTCAACAAAGACATACACAAGCTACATATATGCAGTATTTTTATATTTAACTCTCTTGGTTCATTTTAATATTTAATTCATCAATTTTCAAACTATAAGTTATACAGTAAAGTATTCTTGCTTTGCTCACGTGGAATCACTAAGGCTATGCAACTCATTCAGACAGAAATTCTCCTCCTAAGTGAGCCACTCTTCTGAATCCATTATCTAGAAGCCAGAAATCAGCTCCAAATGCTTTAAAATGAAATTAAAGCATCTATTTCTAGCGGTTAACTACAAGCTATTGTTTCATTACAATTATTCAGAAATGGAAACATCACCCTCAAAATGTGAACTTTTAACTAGACATGTTCAGTAAATAACATTTTATGGAGAATACCAGCAGTAAATACTGACATCTGTTGGAAGTTAATTACCGACTGCTTAAAGCCAAAGTGGTTAAAAGGGAGCCCGGAAAAAGGAATGACCTCTAGTGGCAATTTTGCAAACGGCCAGAGCTAAATGTAGTTTTTATTTAAGCAAGTACCAACAAGCTTTCAGATGAAACCCTTAATTTACTATACAGAATGAAAAACATTAGAATGTCATCATGTCATGCTAAGAATGAGTATGCATAAAATTTTTAAGATTAGTACTTTCTTGTGAAAAATAATAGTGACTTATTTATAAAGTTAACAATTATGTGTAGATGGATATGGGTACTGAGGTGTGCGTGCATGTGCATGTGTGTGTATATATATATATATATGTGTGTATATATATATGTGTGTGTGTGCGTGTATCTATCTATCTATCTGTCTGTCTGTCTGTCTGTCTGTCTATCTATCTATATCTATTTTCTTACTTCTTCGTAGGATTTATGTGTGTTTTTCCTCTAGCCAGGTTTTTCCTACGTAATCAAGGTTTTTCTGCAGCCCTAGCTGCAGTGGATGTGATTCTACTGAGCTAGGGCTGCAGAAAAACCTTGGTTATGTAGGAAAAACCTGGCTAGAGGAAAAACATATATATATAAAATGTATGGTTAACAGTTTAAAAAAATATGCCTCTTCAGAACTGAATTTGATTTTTGATGACTGTGGACATATCTAGGTACTTCTTTTTCGCTTCTACAATTTAATAAAATCTCTGTTTTTTCAAATATGCTTTAATTTGTAAATAATGCTTTACATTTTTAGAGTACACTGAGTTAGGAATGTATGTATATATTTGGGCACTCACATATAAAACACACACACACAGAGTGGAAAGTAATTACATCAGATCATCCTAAACCAATGTGACTTACGTTTTCAATGAGGCCCTCTCGCTCATTTTCTACCTCTTCACTCCACCCAGTCATATCATTTACAGTTTTTTGCGTTACCGTTAGTACTGTTATATTATTGGAAACAACATCTGGAAACATTGACTCAAAATCTATAAAAAATAAGATATAAATATTTTAAATAACGTTTCCATGGTTATATTTCTACACTATTTGCCAAGTGTCCAAAATGTGGTCATGTGACTATGGTGTGTGTGTGTAACCATCTTAATTAGCTTTTTTTTGAGGGAGGGAGGTTCGGTTGTAACTTTGGTTGCTAAGAAACCCATTGTAAATTGAGGATTACCTGTACCTCTAGCAACCAAGAAGAGACATTTGCTCTCTAAAGGCCTATTCTTTAACAGGTGCACTAAATGCTTTGCTCATATAGAAAACTGGTCTAGGATTAAAAAGAAGGCAAAAGGAAGTTAATTCAAAGGTAAAACTGATTCGAATGTACTGAAACCCCAAGAAAATTAACCAAATTACCATGCTAGATGGAAACCATTACTTAAACTGTCAATCTGTGCATGTTTTTTCTTCAAGCTACAATTTTATACACTCTTTTTTAACAATTAACATTGTGGAGGGATGGGGGTGGGTGGGAAACCCATACCTTTGCGCAACAGTTCTGGGCATGCTTGTATCGCACATTCTACTTTGGCAGTTTCAAAGTAACTTTTGGCATCGGCAATGTCTTGTTTATGAACAGCATTATTACCCTGAAAAAAAAAAGATAAGTTTTGAATCTAATGCATACTACTGACTAGAAAATATTTATTTTAGTTTTTTATTCCAGTTGTTGGAATTCTAAGGTTGTGCAAAAAATACATTATTTAACTTCTAGGCATGTGAAGCACATCTGAATTCTTGTCAGGCTTCAAGGCACTGCAGTAACATACCAGTGACAGTCCATCTGTACACAGTTTCAATTTTTTATGATTTTTATGCTTTCATGATTTTGTAATATTTTTTTTCTTAACTGTCCAGACTCCAAGACTGCAGCAGCATATACATTTTGTAAAATAAACAAACACTAACCCATAAAACACATTAAGAATTTTTTAAAAAACAAACCATAAAGGCATTTCTGCTCTTGGAATGATAGTTTGGTGTGACTATTTAATATTGATTTTTCAAATTCTGCTTCAAAAACTTGTGATGCATTCCCCAGCGAAAGGAAGGAGACTAAAAAAAAGGGATCTTTGCCCATCAGTACAACTTTTCCTATAATGGACAGATAAAGGGAGTCATTCTAGCATAATCACTAATTTTTGGTAGAATAGATATAGTAACAATAATTTTTGGTAGTACCACGGTACCTCGGCATTTATCGTTAATTGGTTCTGAGAGATACGATGAGTACCAACAATGTTGAATACCAAACAAACTTTTCCCATAAGGAATAATATTGTGAGTCACAATGAAGCCCACAACAACAAGTTCTAGTTTGTGCGTTGAGTACAAACAAACAATGAGTACTGGGATAAAATTTTTATGTCAGAATGTGTTGAGTACCAAATTTGGTGAGTTTCAAAGCAGTTGAGAACCAAGGTACCACTGTATAGCAATGAAAACCAACAGATGATGACAAAAATCAAAATAAACTAGGGCAAGTATTTTAAATCCTCCCCAGTATATTGAAGCTACCAAAGGGCAGGTATTATCTCAAATTTGATGTTCACAAGTCTTAAAGTTGCCAAGTTTGGAGACCCCTGTCTCAAAGTATACAGTTTGGAAACAACTGGTGATCTACAAGTAGCATGTTGACTTTGATTTCGGTGTTCTTGCAACATATCCCCAAAATGGGGAAGACAGAAAAATAATCCCTTCTCTTCCCCAAACCAGATCTCTTATGAAAGTTTCGTGATATCACTGTAGCTAATTCTGATTATGCATACTGTATGTCGTATGTCATGCTTAATGAGCAAAACTACTTATATATTGCAAAAGTTTTCTATTTTGATTAAGATCTAGATCTAGATCTAGGCTGCAGTCTTATATAGCAGAAAGAAGCTGGTGGGAACATCTAAAATTCCACGATAGTAAGGACTGCCAGCTGATTTATTTTCTTTAGCTCAACCAAGGCACATATATCTCCAAAAGGATGGGATCAGTTTTGGCACTGACAATCAGAATATACTGGTATATATTCTAAAACGGAGTCTAACAATAATCTGTTCAGATTTTTTTTCTCAATAAGTTTTAGAACAATCTACAAATATTATTTTCTATCAGAAAAACTCTTGTCTTTTTTTGCTTTTTGCTTTATAATTGTTACATTTACTACTGCATATAATTACTGATATGGATTTTGGCTTCCTGTCCCCATTCCCTCCAGTAGACAACATGGTCATCATGACTTCTGTTGGCTTTTGTGAACAGATAAGTATTCATTATTCAGAAAATTAGATTTTAGCCAATGAGACACATTTGGAAAATAAGAAGGCTGAAAAACTTCCAAATGATAAATTGTGATCAAAGTGAATCCACTAGAAAGTAACTTCTTGACTTGTATGTGAACTCTGAGAGGTATATCTGGTCTAGCAATTGCCACGTGGATGATAAATTACTGTGCAAGTTGAACTCTACATTAAAGATGCATCTAGGACTTCTTGTGCCATCCACCCAAGGAAGCAGTGAACACATTTCTAGATTTGAATCTCACCTTCCCAGGAGACTTGTACACTTACCTGGAACTCGTTGACGTACTGGGCCATCACAAATTCATGCCTTTCACTTGCCAAGGGTTCTATTAATAGATCAGGTATTTTTTTATGAACTTGTCTCGTCTTCTGAAGTGCCGTCCCACTTAGGTGACAGTCGAAACCTATATTACCAGGTAGCTGAAATCTTTGGTCCTGAGGGCCAAAAGGTCCCATCACTTCATCTGGCCACACAGTTTTTGGACCTAAGAAAAAAAATTACGTTTGCGTCACTGTAAAGCACCCACATACAGAATTTGTTTTCAGCAGTAAAGGACATTGCTTTTTGAAAGTTGCTGCTTAAAAGTGGAAGTGTATATACTTCAATAGAAGCTGAAAAAGTGTGTCCCATTGATTTCAGTGGAAGTTAGTTCTGAGTAAATGCTTGTAAATGCTTTTAGCCTAACTTAGTTAGGCTAAAAGTACCAAAAGACACAGATTACTTAAAATATATACAATGCCAATTTGGTGTAGTGGTTAAGGCATCAGGCTAGAGTCCAGAGGACCATGAATTTGAGTGTCGCTTGGGCACAAAACCACCTGGATGATCTTGGGCCAGTCACTTTTTCTCGGTTTTAGGAAGGAGGCAATGGCAAACCACATCTAAAAAAACCCCCCTTGTTAAGAAAACTGCAGGGATCTATGCAGGTGGTTTCTGAGAAACAGACATGATGGAATGAAGGGGAAAAAAAGATTTTCTATAAAGGGATGGCTTTAATTATCATTAATGTGAGAAAATTGGAATTTTCCTTACATATGTCAGGAGGCGCAGCAGCAACAGAAGGCTCATCTGAGCCAGAGGATCCTGCTGTGGAAAAAGTCTTGGGAGTTATAACCCTTCTAACCAAAGAATAAAATCCTGGCAGGTATGTCACCAGTCTAGCTCTGTTACAAAGTACCTAAAGGGGACACAAAGAAAATTGAAGGCAGCACAGGTTGTATATGAAAACTATGACTTAGCACATACAGTATAGTTCCACAACAGCTGGTGCAGGCATGGAACATGTTACAATGAGGTTGTGATTGAATCGGTTCCCAGTGGATTAGAGAGGCAATGGAGGAAATTTCCTCCTGGAAATTCCTCCACTGAAGCCACCACATTTGCAGTACTCTGGATGAGGAGATCATTATATATATGATGGAAATGAATGTAATGACACACTTCTCAGATTTAACAAACCTTTGGGAAGAAGGGACATCAGCAAGGATTCAACATCCTTGAATTTTGCTTGTTAGTTTCTTGTATTAGCAATTAAAGGGAATACTTGAAATGTATTAATAAAAATCAACATTTTAGATGTGGAGTTTTACACAAGATTTACCAAACAATTAGTACATCTAAGTATATACTGAATTATATTAAAGCTATAGGTAGCTTTATAGGTAGTCCTCGTTTAGCAACCATAAATGGAACTGGCAACTGGGTCATTAAGTGAAATGATTGCCAAGTGAAATAGCGATGGTCCTTATGATATTACTTCAGCTTTCCTTTGCTTTACAGAGCTGTAAAAGTCATAAAAGTGAGGACTGATGGTAAAGTTATTTTCCATCACCGTCATAACTATGAATAGTCGCTGTACAAGACAGTTGTTAAGCATGGAATATCTGTACATGAAAATAATGGAATTATCTGCAAACAAAGGATAATAAATAAAATACGTATGTATGCATTATGCCAGTTCTTCCTCTAGCAAAGTTATTAAATAGGAAAGGCGACAAGTTAGTTAAACTGGTTTATCTGGAGACAGCACATTTTTTATTACTAAACTGGCAGGCCACTTTATAAGTTGATTATAGTGTTCTCCCATTCTTTATACTGGCAGAAAGTTTAACCCAGCCTCCTGCATACCTTGATCAAACATATTCCTAAACTCAAAAGTCTGATAAGAGCAAGGCCAGAAAATTATTAGGACACAAGCTAATGGAAACACATCTTGTTTTTCTTCTTTAATCTGAACATGAACTGAATTAATAAGGCTCAGGTGACTGGTACCACCTCAGTGTAGTTTACTGTAATGACAAATACTGATCATTTGGCTGACAATCAAGTAAAGTTCTGATCTTATTACCACCATATTATTTCTATTTATACATTTGGCAATGGAACTTTAGTCACATTTTATTTTTTAATTAAAACATGTGGGTGGAAGATTACACCACAATGTATGCTTTTGATTACTCTATAAAATAAAGGGATTTTTAAATAAAGGGGGAAAAAAGCTGTAGTAAAATAAGACTTATTTTTTCCCCATCATCAAGAGTGGGCGGCTATATTAATACAGAGGATGGTAATTATTTGTAGATGCCATCATGAAGAAAAACAGTATTAACAATTTTACGCATTGCTTTCTTATTATACTTGAGAGCTCTGAATCAAAAACAATGTATGACATTTTTATAATAGGTATGTTAAAAACATACTAATTCCAATCCTAGATATAATAACTTTGTATTGTGTCTTCATTGTTATTGATCTCACAAAAGATTTTTTTTTTTTAAAAAATCCTTACACACAAGTATACCTATCTGGTATGATAAAAATTAATTATACTACTTACAGTTGCCATTTCCATGCTTTTCTTCGTTTAAAGAAAACCTGAAACAGAGACTTACATAGAAGAATGGGCCTGAAATGCAATTTAGTAATCATGAAGAGTATTATATAGTAAAAATTAATTATTCCATTGAAAGATGATTAAATCTGAGCAGCCTTAATCAGCATGAGGTTCAGTTTACTATAATAATAGAGAAGAAGGCACATTAAGATTTCATTTGGATCCAATAGGGCAGGATACAACTCCTAGTTGTGAGATATTTCATTATTCCCTTGAACATCTTACAAACAGGATCAAGGTTGTTTTATTCTTCCTTTTCAATATTAGCACTACTATTCTGAGAACAGGTTTCAGGGTTTATACTGTTATGGTCAAACAATATATTTTAAGTTGGCAATTTGAGTGATGATGTACATAATTACTGAGAAAGAGGTCATCTAGAATAGTCAAATGAGGTTCCTTCATAGCTTGTATCATCTTTTCAAATTTATTTTTGTTAATCAAATGTTTATAGCCGCCCATCTCACAGGAAGTGATTCATCCTTTATCTGTATTTATCCTTTTCTCCTCTTACTATGGCCTTTCCCAATCTGAGTCTTTCACATATACCTGAGAAGAGCTCCAATCAATCACCAGGTTGAAGAAAGGACTCACAAGAGAAAGTTAATAATATCAAAAGGACTAGAATGGTCCAAAATGCTTTAATATACTTATATTGCCCAGAGTCATTTGGTACAGAAGTGGGCAGCATACACATTTAATAAATAAAAATAAAATACTTAGAAGCAGATAAGCCTCCTTTTAACAATTTGTTGCATTCACAATCAGGTATGTTTTTTTAGCATAGCATGCCAAGACCAGCTCTCTGGAGAAAGCTCTAATCCCTCTGTTGGGAAAGATGGAAGGAAGGAAGGAAAGAGAAGAAGATGACTATCATCAAGATGGATGGTTTTCATTAAAGTGGCAATGAGTTGGAAGAGCTGAAGGATCAGGTCATAGGTCTATCGAGATTCTCATTCACCCAGGTCATAGCTGTCCCAAAGGTGCTTTTTCCAAAACTGAAGTTTAATTCTAACTGACTGGTGGAGTCTCCCCTCCTTGGATGAGAAGCTCCTTGGATGAGAAGTGAAATGTTTTCAAAAGGAAAAAAAATACTTTTCCAAAAGACAATTGGACTTTTGGAAAAAGTCCATAGAGCCTTGGTAGTACACTGGACTAAAGCACTGTTATTAACATCTGCTGCTTTCAATTACTGCAAGTTCAAATCTCACCAGGCTCAAGGTTGACTCAGCCTTCCATCCTTTCAAAGGTAGGTAAAATGAGGACCCACATTGTGGGGGGCAATAAGCTGACTTTGTATAAATATACAAAAGTATGAAGGCTATTGCTTAATGCCTTGTAAGCCGCCCTGAGTCTCCGGAGAAGGGCGGCATATAAATTGAAGCAAAAAAAAAAAAAAAGTTGCCTTTTGGAAGGAAGGCAAAGAAAACCCAGTTACCTTTTGGAAAAGGTGCCTTTGGGAACAACCAGGCTGGAGACAAAAGTCATCTAAGAAAACCTATCTGTGTGGTTGTTTAAAAGCTGACACCAACTTGAGGTCACATCATCATCAGCCCATCCATGTGCACTTGCATTTAATGGAGGGGGGGGGCATCCCCATTAAATCCCAATCCCCAAACGGGTTTTCCTGTAGCAAAGCCGGCTTTTCCTTGACACCTTTGTGAAAGGCAGACGTAAAGCAGACGTAAGCCCACCTATCGCATCGCCGAGACATCCTCGGGGACGGAGTAAGCCTTCCATCGGCATTAGGAGTTGTATACAGGCGGCCCCTCTTGGGAGACTAAAACTCCCGCGAAGTCCCAAAGGTCCCATGCCGAGGAGGAGGAGGCGCATGCGCAGAGCCTCGCGTTCCATCCTCCCGCACAACTGTGACGCGGCTGTCCCGCGCATCGCCTAGGAAACAGGAGCGTCCAACCTTGGCGACTGCGGACTTCAACTCCCAGAATTCCCTCAGTCCCAGCTACGCCGAAGTCAAGTATTTAGAAGCAGGTAAATGTGAACGTCCAATTCTGGGGGGGAATTCTGGGAGTTGAAGTCCACAAGCCTTAAAAATCGCCAAGGTTGGGTCTAGACCAGGGGTGGGCAACTGTGGCCCTTTTACAACCTGTGGACTTCAACTCCCAGAATTCCTGAGACAGCTTGGTTCGCTCAGGAATTCTGGGAGTTGAAGTCCACAGGTTGTAAAAGGGCCACAGTTGCCCACCCCTGGTCTAGAAGAGCCTCCTCGACCTGGGATCCTCCGGGCCTGCAGGGCGGCAACTCCCATAATCCACAGCAACCCCCCCACCCCCCACCGGGAGTATCTCCCAGTAAGCCATCTCCGAGGCGAGGCTCTTCCAAGCTAGGCTGACTGGCAGTTCCAAAGAAAAGTGCGGGGCTGCCCACGGAGCTGCCTCCCGAAAAAGGAGACCGTCTCGGGATCCCTTAACTCTTCTTAGGCGAGGCTGTCCTTCAATTTGTGGACCCAACACTCCACACAAAGTGATTCCCCTCCTAGAAGTTTCTCCAGTAAAGGCAAAGCACCGGGCGGGCTTGGCAAGACGGTTCGAGTGAATCCTCCCCCCACCTCCCCAATTTATAAGAGGAAGAGCTAATTTGAGAATTCCGGGTGGGACCGAGGTTGGGAACCCAAGTGGCTAGTCCCTAGTGAGAAACAGCAGAGTTTCTTAGGGCGGCGATAGTTTATAAAGAAGGGGCATTTCGCAGCCTGGCAAGACAAGCCGGGCCACTGGAGGAGTGGGGCTGAGGGAGTCGAGGAGAAAAGGAGCCCCGTTTGGGGTGGGGAAAAAGAAGCGTCAGTGGGGGGGGGAAAGAAAAAAAAAAGCGCCCGATCTCCTTACTACCCACCTTTCCGGCATCCGTCGGCCCCAGCAAAATGGAAGCCCAGGGAAGCCCGTCGATTACCGCCCTCATCGATCGAGAGGAAGTGGGGGAAAAAAATAATATTGCTGCTGTACGCAGGATTGGGAACAGGCGGAACGAAATGATGCAGCCGCCTTCCGTTGGTTGGGCGAGAAAGAATGACGAATCCAAGGAAGGGGAAATTAATCGCGCTCCGCTTTGTCGATATAGGAGACGACAGCCTGGAGAGGCTCGGGAGAATCAAGTCGAGCACCGCTGAATGGATTGCCTCACGCTTTCTTTCTTTCTTTCTTTCTTTCTTTCTTTCTTTCTTTCTTTCTTTCTTTCT